AGTCTGAGTTCAAACATTGATTGGGCTAGTTAGAGGTACTCTAGCATTCTGCTTCGTTACTCTGAACTACGTGAATGAGGTCAGTCCTGTCAGGTCGGTCTTGTATCAAAGTCTTCCCTGCGCTCTTCAGCATCTTTATGTATGAATGAGAATGTACATTGCTTGTCGAGATTCTACTAGTACCGCATTGTCTGTTCAGTCCTTTTCATCACATTGCAGATTCTCGGTTTATTACGTACATTGCATATCTGTGCATGTAACACTGGACCAAACTTCTACCAACACTACCAACGTCTTCCTTGAATTCAGGAACTGAAAAAAGTTTGGCTGAGCAGGGTACTGGTGGTTTAACCACTACCGTCTTCACCCGAATTGAACGCCCGGTCATTATAGCCGTATTTGATGCAATTTTCGGTCCAGATACGGCCATAATTACCGGGCGTTCTATTCGCCGGGTGAAGACGGTAGTAGCCCGTTCGTGCTTCCATAGGTATGTGGCCGCGGCCCCTGTTAGTGTGACTCGATGTTTGGGCATGAGTTTCCAGAATGCCGTTTTGTGCGAGGTTGCGGCCATAACGGAGTTAATGATGGCCAGCTGATGGATCCCTCATGCCTGATGCGCCCGCAGCCATAACCGAGTTATCGATGGCCAGCAGATAGATCCCTCATTCCTGTTGCGCCCACATCTGAGTTCCCAGATCCTTTCCTCCCCCCATGATCTCTCCACTGTTGAAGCATAATGAGCCCGGCGATTGAAGCGCAAACTTTAGGTTGCCTGTTGGTCAATCGAGTAAGACTGTTCTAGTCTTCTACATTTCTCAAAAGGGAGGAGCAAGAGTGGAGGCCCTGTGGCGACCCCCAGAGGAGACACAGCCACCCTCTTCTATAGGCACATAGCCAGTCTGTCTAACAGCTCTTGCTGTTCTCGGCCAAAGCCAGGTATGGCCCTGGTACTTGAATAATTTCCTCTACATACTGTATAAGGGACGTTGGTCCAGTACTTTTCCATGTTTTCCCAACCATTTTTCTCAATAAAATGTGACTGTCAGTCTGTCACAGTGCTCTTGCCGTGTCTGGTAGGATGTACCGGCCTGCCAGCAGCCAGTTTGCAAAATGTACATCCAGGGATTCCAGGCAAAACGGGCAGTGCGCTAAATGTTTTGCCTGGATCTATTTTTCGCAAACGGGCAGGCTCGTGCATTGCACATCGTAGAAATATGGTTCAACTTGGGACAAGTACATGCATCTGGCGGTTACACCACCAGTACTTCCTAAAGTCGCGCCCGTTAACGCTACGCGATTTTAGGAAACGTACAGGCCACTACAGGAGCGCCCAAATTCATCCAACTAGAAACGTTTCTACTCTATTTTTTTCCGCGGCCGATAGCTGGGCCAAGTACTGGTGGTTTAAGGTACTCCTTTGGTGTCCTCCCTAGGCTGGTTTTCGGTTTGAACTTGAATCCTCTCCCAAAGGATGACAAGTACTCTATTGTCATCCGAACGGCAATTGGAAAAGTGAACTGCTTATTTTAGAAATTTGGACAAGTGGAAGTGTAACCCGTAAAGAAGCATTTCATCAGGCATCTTACATTGGTTGGCTAAAGGCTGGATGACCTTAAAGTTTTAGTCCTGTGCTGCTGGATGCAGGCACTTGCGATGTTTTCTGAAGACTCTGAGGTAGATTTCTCTCAGACTGCTCTTTGTTCCATTTTTCTCCTGCTCTTTAATGTAACAGTCGTCCTTTTTGTAGTCACCGGAGGAAGTTCTTTGACTGATTCTGACCGCAGATTACGAAGAGCAATAGTGACGTGGAGACAACAAGCCAGACCACTGGGATCACGCCCCAGGATTGTGTTTGCCATTATGTTTCCACATGATGTTTACGGCTTCCGTGACTTCATGGTCCTTCACCTCGTTCCCGTCCATCTCGATTGTAGGATGCAACGGAAAGGATATTGAATTTCCACTTTGATGAGCCATGTGGCATCACTGGCATGGACAGTTAGTGTTTCCACATCATGATCATACTATTTTACTGCTTCCGCGCAACTGCCTCGACTCCCTAGGGCTGGGCAACGCCACGTCATCCAGGGAAAGGTCTTGCCTTGACCAGGTCCTCTGCACATTAACTTCTGTTCCTGCCGCGGGGACGACATGTATGCCGACATCTGAAGGGGGTCATCTGCCATATCACCTGCAATTTTCTTTTTGTTTGTTTTTCGTGTCTAACGACACGTCTTTTCCCCAATTTAGGTGTGTCGTCATTGTGCAGGCTCCATGCTAATCTCCGGGCATGTATTGTTCCAGTGCACATTTAACAGATGTCCCGAAGTTCGATACCATATTAGCTTAGAGTACACCCCTCCAGGTGTCACTCACTGTTTGTGGTGTGGTTCAGTGGACCAAAAACAGAAATACACTTGTCAAAAGACATTTTTCATTTGAATTTATGTCGTAAGACCCCCTGCTCCTAGATTTGCCTTCTGAATCACCGTTTCCTACCGTTTCCTAAGCCTCCAAATAACATCTACCATTGCCGCCTGAGCATCCGGAACCGCATCACCTCCCACGGGGACCACCATTGGCGTATTTCTGAACCGGTCCGGGGAAACAAGCCTTATTCGTGTTTATCTTATTCGTGTTTATTTTATTCGTGTTTATCTTATTCTGGGGAAACAGGCCTTCGGGCTCTAAGATTTCTGAGCTCGTACTTCAACTTCCAGTGGAGTGCCATTGGCATAAGGCCACATAGCTGAAGTGTTCAAATCTGTGAAACTGCCTGCAGTTTTCTTTTTGAGAAATGAAGCTCTCTGCATGCATTTTGCTGCAAACTGGCTAGTACTTGTAACAGTGTGGGAAAAGTGATAAGACCTCCCTGCGAAGAAACCTTTGTATCCATTTCCCCCCAAATGGGGAAAAGGTTCCACAGGCCCGGAAATCAGTTTAGGGGTCATTTTTGCACCCTGCAAAACACTTTCGCACCATTTTTACACAGGCTGAGCGGCCATTACTGGCCCAGCCAGGGTGCAGAAATAACACCAAATATAAAGTGATTCTCGGACCTGCGGCACCTTTTCCACCATTTGGGGAGAAATGGATACATTATCAAGGTTTCGTCGCGGGCAGGTTTTTTGACTTTTCCCTAACAGTGTCTCTGCCTTTCAACCACAACTGCTGCTACCGTCTTCAGACTCTTCATCAAAACTGAATGTCTGGTTATTATATCTGTATTCGGGGGCACGTCTCGGTCTAGGGACAACAACGATAATGTCAGGGCGTCCTCTTCGGGTGAATCGGGTGCAGACGGTAGCCGCTACTAGCCAAACGCTAACCCAGGGGAAGGTCACACTTGAATAACACCAGACTGAGCAGAGAGATTGAATGTTCTGGTTTATATTCCCAGCAATTGCACATTGGAGCTGCAGCAGGCACTGCCAGGCGCATTGGGTGCTTCGGCTCCTCAAATACGGGGGGGGTTTGAAAAGGGGGTTAGCTGCACTTGCAAGCTAGGGTACAGCTCTGGGCCTGCTACCTGGTCGGCAGTTTACATCAAGTGCATTGAGTTTGGGCTGTTGTATGCCCAGTGGCTACTGCACTGGCTAGTAGCCCGTGTACATCAAGTGCACTGAGCTTGGGCTCTTGTATGCTCAGTGGCTCACTCAAATCAAAGACAAGGACTTTTTATAGTAGGGAGAAATCGTTTCCTTGACGAAGAAAAATAACGAGAGAAAAAACGAAGAAGAACTTTCCAGTCCTCAAAACAAAATCAGGGAAATTGAAGTGGAACCATGATGCCATCTCACCCTTCGGGCACAGGAGTTAGAGCTCGCTTTTAAGTAGAACAACGCCTCACATACTAGGAGCATGTGGCCGACGTAAGTATAAAGCAGGGACTCCGAGGCGAATGCAGGGAGTTCATGCACTCTCTCACCGAGGTCTTGGTTGATGCTTCATCGTAGCATGTGCAGCATCTGAAAGGCGAGCGAAAGAGTGTTTCTGCGATACAAGTTCTGCAACTCGGACAGCGAGAGGCCAGCTCTGTCTTTTACAGCTTACCAGGAGCCTAGTACACTGATTGCTGCCAACGTGACTGAGGCTGGCTGCCTTCACATGTGTGTCACCTGGTTTCCACTTGCCTTCCAGATACATCAAGCATTTCTCTCTCTCTCTCTCTCTCTCTCTCNTTGAAGAGTGGGGGGGGGGGGGGGAGGGGGAAGAAGAATGAAGACGCGGTGCGTGAGAATTAGGGAAAGGAGGTGAGAGAAGGGCAGACGAAGGCAAGTAGGACAATGGGGGGATCAAAAAATTTGATGAGGTAACTGCGACAGTATGGGTGGAGGGAGAACTGGGAAGTGTTAGGAGGAGGTGGGCGGGGGCGGGGGGGACGGTTAAAGGTTCGAAATCATGCCACGCGGTGTCGCACTACGTGGCTGCATGGCGCAATTCTTTTTCATTTTCTTTGTGTGTTTGTGTATTTGTGTGTGTGTGTGTGTGTGTGTGTGTGTGTTTTAGATTTTCCCCACAACAGCCCCAATTCCACCCAGGTGAATAGATTGTCCAATTGCAGACTCTGTGTGTGTGTGTGTGTGAGTGTGTGTGTGTGTGTGTGTGTGTGTGTGTGTGTGTGTGTGCGTGTCTGTGTGTGCATGACAGGCTGCAAGTATCCATAGTTTCCTTAAATTATTTTGGCTGCCGGGAGCTCAGCATCTCTTTGTGCCTCTCTATCAGATTCTGTAGATGTTGGTTGTCTTGTGTCTACCTTCTCTGGTGTCACCTTTCTGACAGCTTGTAGGCCTTTCAATTGTCGGCGTTGTGCTTTGATGGTATGTCTGCGCGTTATGCTCCCGACGTGTAGGAATATGGTGCAGTTAGCTTATTATAATGGCTGCAAAAATTGCAAATTGGCTTTTCCTCCACCCCCCCAACAATTTAATTTAGACCCTTTTTTCCTTTTAACACGTCTGGTTTTGCAATCAGTTGCCCACGAACATAATGTTCGGCCAGTATAGAATCTGATGTATTCCGCAATATATAACTGCCCATTGTGTTTACTAGGAGAACGAAGTTGTCTACCTTTCATTCAGTAACGATTGTGATAGTGTCACTCATCCTTGTAATATAACTGTATCTGCTCTCACGAATGTGACATGGCATTGCAGGGAGTTGTTGCGGACGTGCTTTTTCTCCGGAGTTGGACGAGGATCATCCGTCCACTGCAGGAAGAAGACAAAGGCAAGCGGGCCAGCCATGAAGCCGTCCATGGGAATGGCAGCCCTCGCGGCTGTTGCCTTCCTGTTGCTGGTTGCATTATACCAGCCCACGGTTGAGGGTGCTTATCTGTGCAACCCCGGTAAAGATCAGAATGAACATACGTACAAGAAAATCAACTGCCTGAAAGTGGGCGGTGCAGTAAGCTATGAGGGGTGCAGAGACACGTGCGAGGGCGAGGACAAATGCAAAGGCTTTGTCCATGCGGCATACGATTGGTCGAAAGGCAAGTACTGCTGCTTCCTGAAGTCCAGGATCGACAAACGGAAATTTCGGTCTCAGGCTGGTCGCGAAACATGCAGGAAGCTATACTTTTAAGACCGATTCTTCCAAGTTCGTTCTCTTGCTTGCAGTTTCGCAGGTTGGTAGACAGCGACAGCGCAAGAAGGAGTTCTGAGAGACTGCTTACTGGGATGTGTCAGTTCACATGTTGCTAGGCTTTCCACCTCTGAACGTCCACTTCCCACTCAGCTAGAGCGGAACCTGGAAAGGATTTACATTTCTTTAAGTATGCTCGGTGACTGCCTCCGAGGTCCCTTGCCTCGCGAAATGGTAGATCAACAGCCCTCATATGATACTGGGTTCGATGCGTCATCATCATCATCATCATCATCATCATCATCATCATTATCATCATCATTATCATCATCATCACAACCTGGAAAAGATTTACATTTCTTCGAGTATGCTTACTGACTGTCTCAGAGTCTGAGGTTTGTTGGCTCGTGAAATGCCAGATCAACTGCCCACATATGATACTGGGCTCGATGCATCATCATAGCCGTCATCGTCATCATCATCATCATCAGCAGCAGCAGCAGCAGCATCCTAATCATAGTCCTCATCAGCATCAAATTTCTGCCAAGGGTCGCTATTTTCCATTCGACAAGATTGAACGTTAGAAGTACGAGGCCAATGGACTGAGTTGTCATGAAAAACACTGGATATCATCTCTGCTTCTCTATCAGGAGGATTAAGGCTCATAAAGGAACAAAGAACGTCATTGGTTGTTTGTTTGAGTTTTGAAGACTGCAGAAATTGAAGACTCTCCAAAATTGCTTCACAATTGTGTGTTTACAATGGAGAGAACCGGACTTATCCCTAGTGCAAAAGAACTGCTCAAGAATGTGATGTTATCACTACTTCTGCCGCTTTGTAATACCCGATATGATTGGCTCATATTCGTTGGCCATTTTCTTCCTTGTTGTCTTCCTTTTTCACTGATCAGCTCATAATTCTCCTTAAAGTTATGGACTGCATGTGTGCTCACCACTCAGAGTTGCCGTACCACGGTGACCCATCTTCCCCTAATATCTGAATAAAACAATGGTCATTTAATTTGTAGCGTCATTGGGGCCGTCCACTTTAATTTAAAGCATGGCGCGCAGGGGGGACCCGCCTCGGAGTCCTACAAAAGAGGCCCGGATGTACTTGTGGTTTAAACCGCCAGTCCACAACCCCAGCCTTCTGGAGAAATAGCCCAATGGCATCACCTATGAAAATTTCAGAGCCTCGGGGCTACCAGACCATAATGGCTGGCGGCGACAACCAAAAAAAAAAAGAAGTGCACTGCTGGCTGGGACAGCCTGCCAGGCCCAAGTGTACTGGTGGCTTAAACTGCCAGGCTGAGAACACCTGGGTCTTAAGGCACTGCACTGCTAGCAAAGCTCTGCCCAGCCGCTAGCGGCGCACGTTTCGTCTCTTTTGGCTGGTGCCGCCTGGCCACGGTAGCCAGAAATTGAACCAAGGCTACCAGAGTGGCCCGGGGTCACTTGCCCGGCCGGGCAGAAAAAAAAA